TTGTGTTTTGTTCACTGGCTAGTGGCAATATAATCCACTCTGACCTGTTGTGTGTTCATTTTCAGAACCCAGCAGTAAATCATCCTCTGCTTTGCATGTTGGGTTAAGAGCCTTAAAGGATAATACTGGTCTTTTTCAACTTAATTCTGCTGCATTTCTAATTGTAATAATAAGCTTAGCTCAGGCTCGTCATTGTTCTCTTGCAATAGGTGTGTCATACATTCCCACATTAATCTCCCTGACACATCTTGACAGGGCTACATGCGCTGGTTAATGCTGAGCTATTAAACCTGAAGCCCAGGCTATAATAAAAGAAATGCGCTGTACAATATGACCATTAAAGTAAAGGAGTACAGTTACTCCTTAGCCCTCGCAATAAAAGAAAAAAAAAAAGGTACAGTTTAAATTTAAATATGGCAATATTGAGTAATGTATGAAACCTGTGGATCTTGCTTTCTCATTGAGAGTTGAATATAAGAAACCAAAACGTATTGTTTATAGTGAAACCAGTACCTGTGCCTTTCTTCTGCCAGGCTGCGGGTGGCAGTACCTCTCACTTGGTCAGCTTCTCCTACTTCAACGCCTTCAACGCCCTCCTGAACAACATGGAGCTGATTCGCAAGATCTACAGCACGCTGGCTGGCACGCGGAACGACACGCTCCTGACCAAAGGTGCACAAATTCACTGTGCTCCCGTTATTGTCCCGTTGTGTCTTTGACTTCCAGCCAAACATGTTGCATGGGTGTGTCATTGTAAAAGATTATAATCTGGTCTCTCTCTCTCTCTCTCTCTCTCTCTCTCTCTCTCTGTCTCTCTGTCTCTCTGTCTCTCTGTCTCTCTGTCTCTCTCTCTCTCTCTCTCTCTCTCTCTCTCTCTGCAGAGGAGTTTGTTCATGCTGCCAACAGGTTCGGTCAGATCACTCCCATGGAAATTGACATCCTGTACCAGTTGTCAGGCCTGCACTCCCCCTCCGGGTAACACTCACTCTGATACTCCGTTAGATGCTTTGCTGACATTCATTGAAGGATATTATGATGACAATAACAGGAAATAAACCCATGTGTATCAGGCGCCTGAATCTTGCTGACATTGAGAGGATTGCTCCACTAGAGGAAGGATGTCTGCCTCATCACCTGGTTGAAACCCAAAAACAGGTAGGATGATTGTGGCAGTCGGTTATGTGAAACTCCTAATTTGCGATAAAATTTATGTCATTGTCAGTGATGTTTTTTTTTCTTCCCATCAGGCCAATGGGGACAGTTCCAGGCCTATTTGGCTCCAGGTTGCAGAGTCTGCCTACAGGTTCTCCCTCGGCTCCATCGCCGGAGGTGAGTTATCCTGTGGCCGGAGGCAGAATGCAGCCTGATGGACACACAGCCACATCCGATACATCTAATTCATATCGGATGTTATTAAGTCTGATTTTGTGTGTTTATCACAGCTACGGGAGCGACGGCAGTGTACCCCATCGACTTGGTAAAGACCCGTATGCAGAACCAGAGGTCCACTGGGTCCTTTGTTGGAGAGCTGATGTACAAGAACAGCTTTGACTGTGCTAAGAAGGTGCTTCGCTATGAGGGCTTCTTCGGCTTCTATAGAGGTAAGCCAGAAAGGCACCTGTGATGTTCCCCCGTGTGCAGTCGCACCACCAGTGATTTCTCCTTTAGAGTCTTTTAATTTATTCATTCATCTTAGCTGTGCATTTCATCTTTCTCCACTTTCATATTGCTTTTCCTCTCCATGCCAGTCATTTCTTGAACAACATATCTGTATGCATTTTGGATTTCTCCTCTCTTGCTACTGTCTGCACAGTAATACTAATGAGCCCTGATGCTCTACAGGTCTGGTGCCGCAGCTTATAGGTGTAGCGCCTGAGAAAGCTATCAAACTCACAGTGAGTACCTGCCCTCACCAACACAACGCACAACCCTCCTGCACTTCAATTTCACTTTGCATGCACACTTATAATGTTCCATTGGTAAAAATGATTTATTAATGAGCTTGAAAACACATGAAAATGTAAGGATTTAAACAACATAAAACAAAAGGGGTCCATAAAATGACAAATATGATGAGAAGTTAAATTAAGTAAAAATTTAAGATCAAATTGAAATTTAATAGGATGAAAAGTACGACATTAGGGGAATCTACAACGGCAAGATGAAAATGAGGGAGGGATTTTTATCATTACTCTGAATGGTCTTTGCTTGTGTTTGTGTCCCACAGGTGAATGACTTGGTGAGAGACAAGTTCACCAACAAGGACAACACCATTCCTTTTTTGGCTGAGGTTGTGTCTGGTGCTTGTGTAAGTACCATATCCCCAAACACTTTTGTATCCGCCTGTGAATGCATCCATGAACACTAGATAACAACGAATGCAGTCAGGTGTTTGAGGGCGTTAGTTGTTAAGGCCATTAAAAAGTAACTCATGCATGCAGTCTGTTTTATCTGTTGTATTAACCGTCTTGCAGAGCACCTAACATCTAACATCAGACAGCAATGCTAAACTGCACCCCAAGTAAAATTGCCCTCGTCCAATGCAACGTGTTTTTGTTTTTGTTTTTGTTTTTGATAGCGTTGTTCATCCTTACACACATTGGCCCAGCACACCTTACCGTCCGAGGAAATGGCAAAGTAAATGATTGATCAGGATTTAATTTTTTACTTTTGATACATTTCATGAGCAAGACTCCCTCGGCTGCGTACGTGTGAGATGCAGGAGCAGTAATCTTTTTTTTTTTTTTTTTTTTTTTTATAAATGTAATGCGTGAACAAGCTCCTCCTTCTCTTCCAGGCTGGAGGCTCTCAGGTGATCTTTACCAACCCTCTGGAGATTGTGAAGATTCGCCTGCAGGTGGCAGGCGAGATCACCACCGGACCTCGGGTCAGTGCGGTCAACGTGGTTCGTGAGCTGGGCTTCTTCGGCCTCTACAAGGTAATGAGTTGCTTGCGTGGTTGGCAGGAGTGCAAACCGCGTTATCTCACTGTATATCATTTAATGGCACTCCCTCTGTCTGGCATGTATGCACTCTTCCTCTTTGCCTCCCTCTTTCATAGTCTGCTCTCAAGCACAGTCTCATACATCTGTCTGCTCTTTGTGTGTCTCTCTAGGGTGCTAAAGCATGTTTCCTGAGAGACATCCCCTTCTCTGCCATCTATTTCCCCGCGTACGCCCACCTCAAGACCCAGTTTGCTGACGAGCAAGGCAGGCTGGGAGCTCTGCAGCTTCTCACTGCTGGAGCCATTGCAGGTATCCTCAGCAGAAATAAGCAATGCTAATAAACTAGCTGTTGTTATTCATTACGACTGACTTTTTACTGCCCTTTAAGTCATGGAGACCACATTTTACACAGGTTTGAAGAAACATGCGTCATCTGTCGTCTTCGTAACTCTATTTCCCAGGTATCCCTGCAGCCTCCCTCGTGACGCCTGCCGATGTCATCAAGACTCGTCTGCAAGTGGCAGCGAGGGCAGGACAGACCACGTACACGGGAGTCATCGATTGTTTCAGGAAGATAATGAAAGAGGAGGGGTTCAGGGCTCTGTGGAAGGGAGCTGGAGGTGCGTGTTTGTGTTTGTGTACATGCATAGACACAATGCATGTCTGGTTTTTGTAATTAAACCGTGTTGACTTGTTTTGTCTGTCTTTTCTCCAGCTCGTATGTGCCGGTCTTCTCCTCAGTTTGGTGTCACACTGGTGACTTATGAGCTCTTGCAGCGGTGGTTATACGTTGATTTTGGAGGACAGTAAGTTGATCTTTTTGTTAACAGGAGAGTGAGCAGTGAAGTCACTTATGTAGCCTTTTTAAAAATGTAGATGGCTGTTAGGTAGACGGGGAGGGACGCTGGGGAAGCACATGTGAGGATGCGTCATGCGCTTGTAGGTTTCATGGCCAGCACGGAAATGCAGAACATATAGTTTTAGAGGGAGTACATATTACTCTTTGAGTTTTGATGCTTGATTGCTTACTTTCTTCTCTTTAATTTCTGTTAAATATAATTTGTAGTACCTGTCATCGTACCCCTCTCACTCTGATTGGTGGTTTTTCTCCTCTCTGCAGTCGCCCGGCAGGATGTGAACCCACACCCAGGTCTCGTATCTCAGAGCTTCCTCCTATCAACGCCGACCACGTCGGAGGCTACCGCCTGGCCGCAGCCACCTTTGCCGGCGTGGAGAACAAATTTGGCCTCCACCTTCCCAAATTCAAGTCATCCGGCGTGGTTTCCATACATCACCCAGAGCCAGTCGCCGCCGTGCCGGCCCCATAGAGGTCTGAACCTCCATATCACTTTGCCATCCCTCTCCTCCTCCACCAGGAGCCAGACACTTTGATAGATACAAAAACACGCACACGGTTGAAAACGCACTCCTTAAAAACGAAACACCAGGTGACAGTGTGCTCCACTGGTCCCCAGCCAGTAGTGGAGGTGGAGAGCTGGCTGCAGCTGTGGATGTGACCGGAGCGCTGACTGTGTTGTATCTTCAGTGGCTGGAGGCTCCTGGCGTCTCCCATCTTTTGTGTTCTTCTCTCCAGCATTCGTATGAATCGGAGCCTCGGGCACTCCTCTCCCTTTCTCTCTCATGACTAGCTGATTTGATTTTCATTCTGTTTTCCGTCTGATACTCAGTGCGAGCAGGACTTTTCTCCTATTGGACAGCGGGCATCGAAAATATTAGATTGTTGAGCATGATGTTGGGTTTCCCTCTCGATTGGTCCTTCCACAGGAGGCTAGATACTGTACATATTGTATAACTGTGGTGAGACGGCTCATTGACGGGGAAAAAGAGTTACAAGACAAAGGTCCGTAATGTTCGGTCTGCGTCGTTAGACAGTAACTAATATCATGGAAACGTGGGGGAGAATCACTCTTACTGATGTACAGAACTTTACAATCAAGTGTGTTCTTGAAAAAACCAGAATCATGATAAGAATTAGATAAATTAAATGCATCTCAATTCATTCACTGTATTTTATTGAAATAAATCATCCATATGGTTTTAATTTTACCAACTGACTTTGAGTTTTATTCCAATGGAAAAGTGCAACCATTAACTGTATCAGGAACAGCAGGAAAGCGTACAGTACAATATGTATATGCAGAGAATACTGATCTTGTTCATGTCATATCAAATATGGTTGCAACAGTGCATTCTTAGCTCATTTTAAACATTAAAGAGAAAGCGTTTGAGTCTGCTGAGGTCGGACTGCTGCATCCTGGAGGGAGGTAACGACTGGATGGAAAAGGAAAAGAATAAAACTCATTTATGTTCTGTGGTAAAGGGTAAACTAGTTTCCAACCTCAGCTTTGCACCTCCTGTTAAATCTAAATGTAGTTTATTTGGATCCTCATAAAGAGGACAAGTCAGGAAACTGTTCTACTACTCATTACACAGGTACAGAGTATAAAACAGTAACCTTTGGTACAGAAATCACCTTTAAATTATACTAGTGTCAATAGAGTCAAGGCAAGTATAGGAACAGATTTTTGCCTGGTAAAAAGCTTGCAGTGCTAATCTTAGTAATGTACTAAAGCATTTAGTACAAAGCAGCATTTTTTTTAAACGATACACAAAATATTTAAATAAGTGCAACCACCAGAATAAATATTAAATATTGTAGTGGTTGGAATGTAAGAATGACACACTTCCGCACAGGCCAGAGGTCGCATGTGTGAGCACATTAGCTGTTAGTCATCAAATTCAAGTGCTGCTGAGGATAAAGAGGATCTGATAGAGATATGTCAGCTTTTCTTTCAGCTCTGCTGAATTACTTAGACAGCCATGTGCACAAGCGTGTCCCGAAAATATTAAAACATGTAAAAACACTCAAATGGTAATAAAAAGGTGCAAGTACAAAGGTTTGCATATTTAAAAAAGGGCTGAGTTGGTTGAGGCCTGAGGAGAAGAGCAGTTTCTGAAAACCCTGAGGATGTTCTCAAAGCTAGAAGTCACATCTGTGCTGAAAATCACTTCCCTGTATTCCTTTGCAAGTTTAACTTTCAACCACTTAAACTGTGGTTGCTGTACTACTACTGCTACACATGACATCCATCGTCCCTTCAAATGTACTCTAAAACTCTCACATTCAAAAACACATCAACGGGTCTTTTCTATCCATTCTAGCTCTGCAAATCTCCTCAGGCCAATCCATGTAGTAGTAGGTGGAAAAGCTGGAAGCCACAGAGAGGAGAGCGCTGCTCCTCTGGCAGTGTCGGGTAGTGTGCTATAGGTGGCGTAGTGTACTAGAGAGAAATGTATGAGCGGTCGTCGGTGCAGCGTTTGCAGCATCAGACGTTGGCCAGTTCCTCGGCTTCGTCTCGGCTCTCATTGATCTCAGCCAGCGTCCTGACAAAGCGCGTCCACTCGTCGGCCTTAGGCACGCATATTTGCTGCAGAGAGAGACGAAGGACAATGCATGTAATCAGCATGTAAAGGAAAAAGCTGGAGAGAGTGACGTCAAAAAAAAAAAAAAAAAAAAAGGACAGATAACATGACATCTCACCTCCCCTACGTCGTAGACCTGCACCTGCCCCTCCGAGTCCCCGGTGGCAATCTCTTTACCGGAGTGAGCCCATCTAACGCGGTTCAGTGCTGGAGCGCCCTCCACATACACGCTGGCGGTGGGAACCTTAAAAAAAAAAAACACACACACACACACACACACCTTACAGATTCATGTATGGCCATCAGTGTTCCCCCCGTTCTTAGACAGCCACATGTAGATGTGACTCATGGAAGAATAGTAGGAAATACGCTTAATCAAGTCAGATGAGAACATTGATGCCATAACAAAAAAAGGCACGTTTCCCAAAATGTCAAGCTATGAGGGTGAAATTAAAGGTCTTATTCAGTGAGTTGTGTGTGTGTGTGTGTGTGTGCGCGTACCTCGGTATCATTATTGAGGTTCCACAGGTCCAGGCGTCCGGCCAGGTCCACGCAAGCAAACAGAGCCGGGTGTGTTGGAGACCACATGGCGTCATAGACGTAGTCACAACTGTCTTCGAACGAGTACAACGGGCGGGTGCTCTGGACAGAGGAACGGCAAGAACAGAGGGAGAGTTGGATTAATGTTGGGTATCGTGACTGAAAGGGGATTTAACAAAAGCAGCTCTGCAAGTGACTGTGTGAATATCTCACCTTAGTGCTCCAGAGTTTGACAGTCCAGTCAAAAGAGGAGGAGATGAAGAGATGAGAGAAGTCAACGGGTCCTCCAGCACTGTGACAGCTCAGCCCGGTCACCGGACCATGATGGCCCTCAAACACCTCAGTGATGCCCGCCTTACTGTAACGCACATAAAAACAATCGTGAAAGGTTCTGCTAATTACCTTCCTTCCCCGCAAGGCTTTTATTTCACAATGTGTTGGAAGTCGCAACCGCTCCTTTGATGCTAATGAGGACAGAGGTCAAAGATCACACACCTCCCGTGGCGACAGGCTGTGTAGACCGAGCCGTCCTCGCTCCCCACCACAAAGTTGTTCACATCGCCCAGAGGGAAGGCCATGGAGGTGACAGCCACCGCTTTGCTCTGTTTGAAGACCAGCTCCAGACTGTCCTGCAGGGAAAACAAACACGCACAGGGTCAGACTCTACCATCTGATATTCATGACGGCGTGTCCGTCATTAATCCGTCCATACGAGCTCAGCGTACCTGTGGCTGGGAGAGCATGTCGAGGCTCCAGGAGCACATCTTGCCGTCGGTGGAAATGCTGATCAGGTTGTTAGCATTTTGGGTTCCTACCACGTTCACACAGTAAACTGGGTGCTGAACAGAGCAGAGCACAGTTAAGAGGAGTAGAACAACACACACTTACCAGGTGTAAAAATGCAGAGACAAAAAAACAGATTGGCTGGAAAAACTACCACAAAAACACACAGTAGTGTCGATCATTTCAAAAGACCGTAAATGAAATAGTTTGTGAGAGTGTGTCGACATAAAGGTGTGTGCGCTCCAGTGCATTACTGTGTGTGCAGATGCAGACAGAGGAGTTCTCTGAACAGGGGTGCGCTTGTTGCTCCTGTTGTCCCACAAGACGATCTGTCCGGAGTATGTCCCACCCACCACCAGGTTGGGGTGGAACTTTGCAAACCCGGCTGACATCACCTCTGACTAGAGGAAGAAAAAAACGTGTTATAAACAGTATATTTGCTTCTGCCTGGGTATTTGATTGTATTAGGCTTAAAACTATTAATTTTGACTCTTGAAGTCTGGAATTGAACCTGGCACATTGCAGTAACATGCACTGTAACCACAGGGCTACGAAGGCGCCCCACGTAACTTCTCCTGAAGATACTGTTTTCATGGTGAATTATTTCCTTACCTGGCAGTGGAAGATGTACTCGGGTGTGTTCTTCTTGTACTTCAGGTTCCAGACCAGTGCCACTCCATCCGGCTCATGGGGAGCATCCTCATTGTTGTTATACGAGGCCACCAGCAGCTCTGGATACTGAGAGGAACACAGCATTAATCAACACAGGAGTCTGCTCTCACTGACCCTCTGCCAGATGTGCGGGTTTGGACATCTAATAGGATGAATTTCTCCGTGGGGATCAATGACAAATACAACCCACCTGAGGTGACCAGTCGAGACAGGTGACCACTCTGTTTTTAGTCCAGCGCTCATCTGCAAACTGTCTGTTGAGAACCAGCTTTGCACCTGCTTGCAAATCACTGCGAAGGAAAACCCCCACCCCAAAAAAAAAGGATTATCAAGCCTGCCATCATTAAACTTCTGTCTTAGCTATTTATTTACTTTCTTTAAACACTTTTTTTTCGTGTGCCTCACCCTTCCTTGTCCTCGAGGTCTCTGCCGCTGTAGTCGAAGCAGACGTCCACGTGCTCAGCAAGAGCTCTCTCCACGATTCTGCTGCCTCGTTCGAAAAATGACAGGAATTCCTCGGAGTGCAGGACTTGCAGCTTCTCTTCTTCTGTCAGCTCTTTGGGAGTGTCTGTACACATGAATGAGAGTTCAATAAAGATAGAAGAAAAAAATAGTTCTTGGTTACCGGTAACATGTTGCTGGATAGAAATTACTGTTTTTTCCCCCTATTAATCAGCAATATTAAAGCACGGTGGATTTCCTGCCACAGTTATTGGTATTAATAATTAAGATGTCATCAACAACTAGCTCACACTTTGAGAGTTTACGTGTTACAAACTTCTGTCCTTACCCTCGTCTTGCTGATCGCCATGTTCACCTTTGTCCTCCTGGGCATCCTCTGCAGTTGGGGGAGCAGTTATCTCCTCATCCTCTTCCTCATCTGGACAACAAACAGATTTGATTTAGTTCTTATTGAATGTTGATTAAACCACAGTAGAAAGTTGGGACAACACTCTTTTTTGGTGTATATGTTCGTTTACCTGCTTTTTGATCGGTGTGCGTCAGGGCCTCGGTGGGCGTCTGTGTTTCTTTGGAGTAGGCTACTAATTCCTTCGGGGCAAAGTCGACCTGGGTCACTTTGGACATGCCCAGCCTCACGGCTCCACGTCTACACACACACACACACACACACACACACACACCATGGTGGAAATAAGGTCACGCATACAAAGGTTTGCGATGCAAGGCAGAACGGAATGAAAATTGTACATGTAGAGACATAAATAACGATGTACAGACATAATACTAACACATTTAGACAAATCTAAGGTGAAAAAACACAAACTGAATGAAGTCGGAAGACAAGCTAAAGGAGAGAGGAGGAGCAGTACCCCATCAGCTCAGAGTCGGAGTGCAGTTGCAGAGTAGAGGGGTCAGGGTCCCAATGCAATGTCCTACAGCCAAACCACCAGACGGTGTTAGTCAGAGAAAGACGGGACAGACAGAAAGAAAAAGGAAAACAAGAGGATGAAACCAAACGCAAAAGGACAGGCAGAAAGGTAAGCCAATCAAGAAATGTGAAAGACAGAACACAGAGAAGAGGAAAGACAGAGAGAGAAGAAGAACGAAGTGCGGGTTAATTGAGAAACGTCAGCGTGCCGGTGAAAAGGCAAAGAGGAGAGGAGGTCAGAACTCATCAAGTATATTCAACACATTGATACACACACACTTGGCATGCAGGTACAACCCAAAATTACCTAAAAATGACCTTAAACAACCAATCTCTATCTCCGTCTCTCATATTCATACACACACACAAACACACATGCACGCGCGCGCACATACACAGACCTTGGTCCTGCGTTTCCATCCCCAGAGTCTTGGCTTCCTGCATCGCTGCCCACTGATTTGTTGGAGGGAGACATGGGGGCGGGGACTAGGTAGTGAAACAGACATGTATCTTCTGTTACTACCCTCAGGGCCTGAGCTGTGAGTGTGTGTGTGTGTTTGTAAGTCAATGAATGGATGAGTGAGTGAGTGAGTGAGGGAGAGAGTGAGGGAGGGAGAGAGTGAGTGAGTGAGGGAGGGAAGAAGTGTGTGAGGGAGCGAGTGAGTGAGTGAGTGAGTGAGTGAGCCAGTGAGTAAGTGAGTTTGCATAAAAAGGACACACAAAGGGGAGAGAAGAGAGAATGAAAATAAATGGCAGGCAGGTTTTAGGTGTCATGCAGAAACATATAAAATGTTCAGATATTGAGTGTGGGGGGGGGGGGGGGCAGTGACAGAAACCAAGCCAGACCACAAAGTTAGAGAGGGACTTTTATTAACACTGCAACTGCAACAAGCAAACCAGAAATCGATGGCAGATAAGTGGGGGTGAAAGGTAGAAATAGAAGCATGCGGGCATGGTGTGTTTACCGTGGTGTATGTCAGGGGTGATGCCGACACTCTGCAGCAGCGCCTCCGCCTCCCTCCTCTTCCTCTCCAGGTCAGAGTCTTCATGACCACCACCCGCCTCAGCTCCTCGCTTGGAGTCTCCCTACAGAGTACAGAACAGGCTCAACACAAAGCAGCAGCCACGCAGGTTCTTCAAGTGACACGTACAATACTAGAAACGTTGAAGCTATTGTTTCTACCACTTACATCCTTCTTTTTCTTCTCCTCCTCTTTTCTCTTCTTCTCCTCTCGAATCTGGGCGATCCGTTGCTTCTTCCTCTCCAGTTCAGCCTTCAGCTCGCTCTTGTCAGACATACTGCAGGAGGACGAGAGAATGTTACAGGGCGACACTTATGAGTTATTTAATTACGGTTCATCAATTCGCTTCACTCACAATGAGCCCTGTCCAGGATCCTCAACTAAATATCAGCAAATTAAATACTAGGCTTACAGCGTGTCTAGTAGGACTGCAACTAACGAATATTGGTAGTCAGACAACTATTAATACAGACAAGAAAAAGCAGCAAGTTATCCGCTGGAACCATCACAAAAAACTACTTGATTGATTAATCAGTTATCAAAAGAGTGGCCAATCATCCTCAAACAACTAATCGTCGACTCATCACTTCAGCCCTAATGTTTAGGTAAGCAGGGAGACCAGAGACTGACATTCAAGTGCAGGACCAGAGTGAAAGCTTCAGTGTGAACAACATCAGATATCACCTTGAGTAACACACACAGTCTTTACATCCTGTACTGTGACTTAAAAATGACCTTGTGTGAAGGCGAAAAGAAATCTCTTTTTAGGAACATTATTATGATCTTATTAGAATAATTCCATCGCTCCTAATTGCCCTGTTAGTCCATGTGAGCATTGAGGTGCATCTACCAACCAACATTAATTTATGTATCAACCCTGAGCACCGAGACGGTCTAATTGCAAACGCTTCAAAACTACACAGCAGATCTATTTTAGAGTGGAAATGATTCGTTGATAAATTGATTAAACAAATTGTCAGCTATTTTGATTATCAATTAAGGGTTTAGTCATTTTTCAAGCAAAAAATACCAAATATTCTAAGTTTTCAGCTTCTCAAAGCTGAAGATTTTCATGGTAGTAAACATGGTAGTAAACATGGTAGTAAACTAAAGTATGACATGAGTGTTGGAGTGTTGCAACAAGTAATGCGATTTTGGACAAAATGACTAATAGATATATTGAGAAACAAAATAATGATTGATCCCTGTCCTCTATTTGATGCAATGTTATCTTAAACATAGAGAAACACTTCAATTACCATGACATTTAAATCATGTAACAAGAAATCTAACTGGCTTGCTTATTCTAGACTGAGGCAAAGTTGGTAAAAAAAAAAAAAAAAACACTTCAAAAAGCTGAATGCTGAGCTAAGTGACAGATATATTCAAGTAACTCATTAAACATTAGCACCAGTAATTCAGCTTTCCCAGTGTGCAAACTGCACATATCAGTGCTGCAATATCCAGATTGTGTTGTTTGCAGCAGTAACGTATCAGTGCTGCATTACCCGTTAGCCCTGGGCCGGTCATACTGGTGACATGTGAACACCAGTTCATAACAAGGTTCCCTTTATCTGTTTTCTCCTGATGAAATGAAACGACTGAGAGGGTGGATTATTCCAAAAAATATACATACTAAATCTGTAAAGGCTAGGTAATTATAAAATACCCTGGTTATGTTTGTAAATAAATATTATTAGTATATTATATTAGTATGTAAGTCAGAGCTAGCAGCATTTTAGTGATAGTGTGGCTATTCATACACAGCATATAGATACACCAGCTAAAACCATGATCATTCATCATCAGGTCACATTCATGTCCTAACGCTGATCGTATTATGTTACGTTTGTGTCGGGAGTGTCCAGCTGGAACACCGAGATGCTCCAACGCCAATAACCGCCCTCACAAATCTGCAGATACCAATGTAAACTCGCTATTGTGTCCATTGCATCGTTTGTTTATTCATCACAAATCGCGTATTTACTGAATGCGTTATGTTACAGAGGCTTTCTTCTGGCTCGAACATTATTATAATCTAATTAACGGCTACATTGTCGGCACAGACGTCTAGTTTAGCTGTGCTAGCATGCTAATCTCCATGGCAGCCGGTAGGGCCTAATGTCACAATGAGCGACTATAACGGTAGCATCGCCGACCAACGCCCGAGCCTCTCCGCTGTACTGTTTCGTTTACTGACACGTATAAAAACAACACGAAAACATAAAAACAAAATACCTGGTATCAGATATTAGATTTACGTAGATAGATGACAATAGAATCCTGTTTTGCGTACGTTAAGCCTGAGGAGAAGAGAAGTGATGGTGGAGACTGATGATGCTGGAAGAGAGGCAGTTAGCTAATTAACGCCGCTGCGGACTTCTTCTTCTGTGGTTGGCCGCACAACTGTTAAAGTAGAGTACCACTGCCCCCTACTGGCGGAAGTTGCAATTTCCTGAAAAATGTCTCAATGTTTGATGGGTTTTGTTCAGCAGCAGTGGTGAAAGAAGTATTCAGATCCTTTATTTAACTAAAATCATCACTGCCACAAAATCAATAAATTACGTATAAAAGTATTGAAATAAAAGAAGTACAATGTCCAATTCCAGAGTCTTAAATACAAATAAAATGATTATAACATATGATTATTATACCATTAACGATGTAAGCAGCATTTTAATGTTGTAGCTTCCTGAAATTGAGACAACTTTAGCTACTTTACAAACTGTTTGGTTGTTTAGTCAAAACAATAAAAAAAACTAAAATTAAATATAAAATCACACATATTTATTAACATTTGTCAATCATTTTTTATTATAATTCTTTATGTTTTTACTCCATACAAAAGTTTTGTGCATTTCTTATCAACACTCATACAATTCAGTCAGTGTGGTTTGTCATGTGGAAAACTGCGAACACAGTAAAGGCATTGTCTACATGTCTGTACAACATTTGATGATTTGCATGATTTGAATATTAACCTTTGTTTTTAAAGTGGATTTGCTCACAGTCCTGCACTGGTTTGGTCTTGCGATTTAATATTGTAGTCTTACCCTGTATGGAAGTCCATCATCTCTTAGGTATTTCTTTGTTTTTACTGTGGTTCAGGAGCTGGATCGGCATAACGCAAGGGGTCGTAAAGGTCACGTTTGAAATCATAAGGGTCGAAGTAAGGGCTTTTCTGGATGGCTGGTTCTTTAGTAACACTTTCCTTGGCTTCTGCTACTTCCTCCTCTTTCTCTTCAGCGGGTGCCTCTGGTGTTTCCTGGATGGGGCGGGGAGGGTGATCGATGAGGCAGTCAGGGTCCCAGTATGGATCACAGACATACTCCATACCTTTGACAGTAAGAGGAGGGGGAGTTTGCACAGACTTTTTGGGAGGCAGAGGAGCTGGGGGTGGTTGGCGAGGAGCAACAGCTTTTATCTCCTCCTCTGTTTTGGGCCTGCAGGCGGGGTTGACTCGTGGGTCACACAGTACTGCAACAGCCCCTGTTGGCAGGTAGACGATCTGAGGTTTGCACAGTGGGTCTTTGGGGTTACACAGATAGATCCTCTGAGCATTCTCCAGAGGGTCTGGTGTGGGGGCAGGGGTGGTGGGTGGTGGAGGGGGCTGAGTGTTAGTAGTTGGTGGTGCGGTGGTAGTCAGCACACCCATTACATTTTGGTAACTGGAGGCATCTGGGCCATAGGTTACCTCCAAGTGACGCATCTGCTGATACAACATTCTGATCCTGTCGATCTCATAGAGCTGATAGAGAAACATATCAGAGAGGAAATGAAAACAAGTTTCTTTCGGCTGAATAGTGTAATACAAGTACAACCATTTATATAAGAATCTGAAATCAACCTCAACTTACTCCTTCAATGTGTCCGATACTGTTGTAGAAGCGGTAGTAGGACTGGAAATCAGGCGTGCCTCTGTACCACTTTGGATCAATGTTCCTCTTAGGGGGAGAATTAGTAAAGAAATCATGTGCCTGATCAGAGCCGATGTTAACTGGATTCTCTGGAAGAACAAAAAAATCAGGAATTATGGGGGGGGAAAGATTTGCAATATAAATTCCAATTCACAAGGCATTATGTTTAAAATCACTCGAAAAAAATGTATGTAAGGTTATAGGTTTTCAAATCTTAGGATCAGCTGGGCCATTTTAAATCCTATAGAAATATTATTATTGATTATTTGCACAGTTTACAGGATAACAATTATTTGTATGAAGAACGTTACTGCCAGTATAATAGTATTGAAAGCAGTGTGCCAGTATCTGCAAGAAGGTGGTACATGAAATACCTCCGGGATTCTTTACTTTCATCAGAGATGTTGCTTCTAACAAACCTGGAGGGAGGCAGAGAATATATTAGACACCACAAAACAACAAAACTCTGCAAAGCAATACAGAGCAACTAAAGGGACGCTCAACTTGTGACTATATGAACAGTGCTATCAACAGATACAATTCAATCCATTCAATCATATTCAACTTTTTATTGGTGTGGTTTTAACTTCTACATAAAGAAGAATCATCTAATGCACTTTATTTAGACAAACCTGCCATTAACAGCACGTAGCAAAGCCTCCTCAACAGGGACACCTGGGAAATCATCCTAGACATCTGCAATACACAACATAAACATTGCAAAGCAAAGGTTGCCTTATATGTATAGCTCTACTTTTAAACTTGACTACCAGAGTGAATAAGAAAATGACTCGCCTGTTGTTGCATCTCCCCAGTCCAGGTCTAATCTGCTGCACAACATAACTGTTCATAAATACTGTCGTTAATACTGGGGCCTTTCCATTGGCGGCTGAGCTGCAAGAAGCCCTAACTCCACCCCTCATGCATTTTCTGTTGAGACGTGGAAGAACTCATTAGGACACTGAGCATGAACCAGAGATAAAAGGCCAACTTCAAACAGAATAGGACTCTTTGTAAAGCCACAAGAAACCGTCCTGTGGCAGCAGGGCCCCTACTGGTGGCACAGGCAGTCCAGTTTCTGGAGTCATAGTCCTTGATGAAGCCATCAGTGGAGGTAGAAGTTATGCATTCCTTAAGATATTGGTTTTTAGAATTGTTAAGCTTATATTTCTAGAGGTGTAATTTACCAGGTGGCGTTGTTGGTTCCCTCACACCACACATTCAAAAGCATTATGTTTTCCTAAATCTATAGCTGTCAAACAAACAAACATTTTCTGTTTTGTTTTATGGACCCAATTTGCAAAACATGGCGACACACACCGTTCCATCGTAGCCGAATTCTTGACAAAACATGCCTGGAAGGTAAAAATTAACCCTCCGTCCCAAAACAGCTGGATACGTCCTTTTAACTTTGGTCTTGGCCAGTCAAAAAATAGGGGGCGAGCGCAGTCAACTGCTGTTTAAGTCCCCAAGAAATATGCAAGAATTATGGGCTAGCTTGTCCAAACACCAAATCACCAAGTAACACAGCCTGGGAAATTGTTGTTTAGAGTTCTCAACATGCCACTTTTATTAGTTTCCACATTGATAGATATATTCCTGAATTGCTAGATAGCAAGAATCCACATCAATGCACAAGAAAAAGTTATAAAGTTACTGTTTCAATAAATGTGTAGAACAATTTTCAGGATATTTCCCACCAGAACCTTCGTCCCATGTCTTAAACTCTGTGTCCTTCCTGTCACAATTGGAGACAAAATGTTGGGAAACATCAGTTTTGGTTCAAGTGTAGAACTATTAGATGTGATCCAGAATATATTGTGGCGAGGCCTGAGAAATCCCATGTTATATAAAGAACCACACATTATTACAAGTGTGAACAGGCTGCATTAGGGATTGCTGATAGTCGTAAAAGATGATGTAACCCATTAGTCAGAAGCTTTCTGCGTGTGTTTGTTTCAGCTGACCCACAAGCTACAACACACAAAGGACATGCTTTGTCAAATCAGGCCTAACACCTACACCCAGCTCAAGCTTTTCAGATGAATGAATCAAAGACAGAGTGAACTGATTTTGCTTCATTACATTCTCAGGTTATCTTAACTTCCTTCATTTTCATTTTCCTCGGGGGTTTGCATGCCTGCTCAGTGTTTGTCATTTCAACAGTGCAGCAAATGCTCTCCTTCAAACCAGCAGGTGAGGCTACGATCAAAGAGTGCAAGGAGAGACAGGGAGTCTAGAGGGGCTCTACCAGGTGGCTAATGGTGAAGATCGTACTGCAATTGCTCTGTACACATGTCAAAAATGGAAGGGTAAGGGTACCTGTTACTTTTAAATGGTATACATTTATTTTACCTGTACGCTGAGATAAACAGCCGCCTCACAAAATAAATCAACTTGTTTCAAAAAAGGTGTAATTAGGGCAAAAAAACATTTTGTTTCAATGTCAATATTTTTGCTGCCTTGTCAGAATAATATTTGTATATTATTTCCATGTATTGTCAATATTTCACAAACAATTTGAGCCATTTGTAGGATAAAGTCTATCTGGTTGAACCATGTGGCAATTTGAAAGTAAACTGATGAGATAAACTCCATGAAGAATTCGTTTTCATGCTGTCTTTAAATTTGACAAAACAGTGCATGCTACACTGCAGGGTTTACAATGTTGAATGAGATTGTAAATATTACCTCCATTGTTTTGTGATGTTACAAGGATCTAACATCTGGGATGTTGGTTACACACACTACATCACAACACATTTTACCAGAAGTTATTCTCCTAATTGGCATAAAACTCTTCTTAATAGCAGTGAATCACATGATTGCTCTCTGTTCTTCATTTCAAGTCAAACTGATAACGAAGAGGACCACAGAATAGTTGCATAACTGCAATGTACAGCAGATTTTGTTGCACTACTTTACCACCACCTCCAGGGTATCAATTATTTTAAGTTGTGCCCCTGTGATCTTCAAGTGAAATTACACCTTGTCTTGGAGCTCTCTGCAGGACATGAGAGGATCAGCTCGAGAGTAATGTTTTCAGCTCTTGACCCATCATTCCACAGCTTCACTACCTCTGCGCTTAAACCAGATTACCACCATGCACGTTAAAGGGCAGTGCTCAGTTTTCCTCTTCTAAAATCTTGTAACATTGCAGATATTTGAATGAAACTTCTCTCTTGCTTGCTGAAAAGGACATTTTGCCATTCCTGAGTCAAAATGGGCTGAAAAGAATCCACACAATAAAGTACAGCCAGCATACTTTATAAAAAAATTAAAAATACTCATTCTGCAGAGAAATGGTCAGTGTTTTACTGTTATGGCTACTAAATGAATCAGTTAGAGAAAACTAGATATCAAACTATAAAAAGTTATTCTAATTAACTGAATCAAAAGCTGGAATAGTGTCGTTTAATTAAAAACAAAACACATTTGGCCCTTCTCCTTTTGCTCGTTACTCTTACAGCTACTGTTTCTAATTTGGGAGTGTTGGTGATATAGCCGGATTTTTGCTTCTCCCATGTGGCCAAAGAATTGTTTACATTTTCTAAAAAAAGAAAAGAAAAGTGGTGCATGCATATGTATTCACACCAATTTTCAGACATCTCATAATTAGTTAAATAAAATCCACCTGTGCAATCTCACATAATCTCAGTATTTATCTGGAACATCCCACAGAGCACCATAAAATCCACCATTATAACATGATAACAAATATGGCAGCACAAAAGAAAGACAGAAGAAAAAAAAGAAAGACAACAAGTTTGGATTTCCCCAAAATACATGTGGGGAACACCAAACTATATTCCTTCAACAAATGACTATTTTTCTGGCAACTTTTCCAAAAAGCCCAACTCTGTGGAGTGTGCGGTCCTACAGGACAGATACTCCTGCTGTGGAGCTGTCCATCTCCTTCAGGGTTATCTTTGGTCTCTTTGTTGCCTGATTAATCTGATTAATGCCTAATCTGATTTTAATCGCACACAGGTGAATTTAATTTAACAAATGATGTGACATCTGAAGGTAATTGTTCACATCATATCATATTTAGAGGTTTCATAGCAAAAAGGGTAAAACATATGCATGACTATTTTGTGTAGACCCATTACATAAAATCCTGATAAAAAGCCATTTAAATTCAACAAATAAGGAAAAACACCAACAAATTAATATCATTCTTATAATCATGGCTGTATAGCTTTTTTATATAATCACAGCAACAGTTACAGATTTTAAAACAAACAAGCTACAATCTACATAAAATTGCTTTAAATATAGATTTCAAAAACTGTATTACAGGCCATTTCAGGAAGAGTACAGGTGTAAATGATCAAAAATATAATAATTAAATCAATCAGAGGATCGGCGGTTCGATACCCGGCTCAGGCTCCACTAGTTGCTTGTTGATGTGTCCTTGAGCAAGACACTTAACCCCAAAATTGCTCCTGTAGGTGTAGAATTGTGATAGAATCTGAATTGTAAGTCGCTTTGGATAAAAGCATCTGCTAAATGACTGTAATGTAATGGTAATGTAATATATATATATGTATATATATTCAAGAAGCCTAGTAGTAATAACGTCTGTGTAGTCAACAACTGTCAAATCAAATAAAGAAAGTACAAATCAATTATATTTTAATAATTATTATTCTCAGTTTTCAAATTTAACTGGATGGATTATAAACAATACATAGAAATACATAAATAAATGTTCTTCTCATTTCAAGTAAAATAAGGGCTGCATTAAAGAATAACTGACATAACAGAAATCTTTTGAAAAATGTGCATCTTAAAATAAAGTAATTCATTTTAGAAAAATGAATTTCACTGAATTGCCCTGCAGCTTTAAATTCACTTCATTCAGGTGTGAAGTGATGCCAATCAAAAAAGCTACGATATTATATTTTTCTCATTTGACAAATGTGTGTGCATGAACTTTATCTGTGGTTATTAAATCACTTGCTTCAGCTCTATTCTCTCTGCTATGTTTCCTCGTCTCTTCCCCTTGTGTCACGGTGTGTGTACATCTCACTCAAGTCAAGAAACTTGTCAGAATGCCCATATTTGATTGGCTGAGCTGCATCACGTGATGTGATTTACACGCATTGGTCGGTGTGTTTCCTGCGCCGCTGAAAATAGAAGCGATCCGTCAAAATTAAATAGTTCTCCATTATCTATCGGTTTTAGGTCCAGGGTCCGGATACAACGGCGTCTGGGTCCGGATCCGGACCGCAGTCCGCCAGTTAGTGACCCCTGAAGGTCCTTCTGCAGCATACAGAACCTCCACTGCCCACTAGGCGGCAGCGTGAGACAACACCGGAAATGTCCCACTCGTTATATCAGTTCCTTTAAGGATGTTGAAGTTTTGTAGTTCCTGGGTTGTTGACCTGTCAGCGTTGTAGTACAAGCTGTCACTGCTGACTTTTTCTGTCCTTCACATAGTTGTATTTTCGGCCAATAACACAAGGAGACTCAGTGCGTCGGACCCACAGGGTTGTTCGTAACGTATTTACCGTTGTTGCTGGTGTCAGCTAACCAGCGAGCTAACGGCTAAAGTTAGCTAACAAGCCGACTAGCTTTACAGCCAGCTTGCTACCTAGCATCCGACGGTAGCAGGGTTAGCTAGCTTTGTTTTTGCTGTTAGTTAGCTAACCTGCATTACGAAGACGCCCACTCCTGCAAAGCAGCATTCCGGACAAAAGAGCGAACAGTAAGTAACGTTAAGCAGTAACCTAAAGTTGTTAAACGTAAGCTAACATTGCGATTGGGGGTAGTTAGCATATTGATTTTAAGATTTTGTGTAATAGGCGAAAGCGTCCAGTAAGCCAGGGTTTGACAGAAGCTGCACAACCAGTGGCACCAGCGCAACTCGTCTGTTAGTTGTTTTACTCATAGAATGAACTAACTGTCATTCGTCTAAGGATCCGTGTGTGTATCATGCTAACTCAAGTTAACTTCTGGCATGACTGTGTGACGGTAAGTTAAGTGACATTTTAACAGAAGCGAGAAGCCAGGCATCGGGAACATTGTGTGAAATGCAGTTGAAGCTTGTGGTTCTCAATCTGTGGTCCGGGAACCATCAGGAGCCCGGATTCCAGTGGCCTTTTTGCAAAATTGACAGTTAATTTCTGCATTTTTACTTTTCTGAAAGTACAATAACAGAATACAACAATAGAACACACACAAAAAAACATCACTATTAATATCTCTTTAAAAAAAATAAATAAATAAAAAAAATATATATATATATATATACACAGCTAACAGTGAGTAATCTTAGAGCTGAAACAATTAGTAGATTGAAAATTGATCGGCATCTGTTTTGATCATCGATGAACCATTTGATTCTTTTATCAAGAAAAATGCCAATCTGTAATTCCACCTTCTCAAAATATGTAGTAGTCATAGCCCTGGTCACAGGTGCCTACTGTAAATATAAGTCTTATTCACTAAAAAAAAATCAATTTTTCTTACTAAATAAGTTAGCAGGGGCTATCATGAACCTCTGTTGCTTTCTTTTTATAGCAGCCTGTTCAGTTATGATCATATGTGCTGGTCATGTAAATCTCCGGTGTCATTGTGTGAGAGCTCTGCAGGGCTTCTCACTCTCAGCTGTTGCAAATGCCCCGTGTTGGATCAGGTATGTGAGAATGTGTACTGCTACATCTGTCTCTCGTTGCACTGAGTCACACTTTCGTAATTGAACCGCAGCAACAGTCCAGCCAAGGGTTATTAAGTTGTAATAGCAAGTTAAAAGAAGTGACAAGACTAAACATTTAAAAAATGATGAACCCCTCCCTGGTGACCTCTGGCTTCATTTTTGGTGGTGTGATGGAATGTGTGGAATGAGGCAGAGAGTCTTAACCAATTACACAGGAGCCCTTGTGGTAGGATATCAACAGGAGTTGCTATTGTTGCACTAAATACCTGATTGGGTGGATGTCCCATCATCATTGTGGAAGAGGTCTTTGAAGGTGTTTGAAACTCTGTTTAGAGAACTTAATGTCATGTTAAAACTAAAAGACTATTTTAGCTCCCAGTCCTGTTCTACCAGGATACAAAGGACAGTTAGTGACTGTATTAACTCCGGCTGTTGAACTTAGACTCTTCCAGGTTTATTTGGTTCTGCGTAGATTGTCAGAAATTGCAAGAAAATTGTCAAATCTGCAACTATTTTGATGCATAATTAATAATTTAAGTCATATAAAATATGGTTGGGTTTTGAATGTTGTTTGGACAAAACAAGATATTTCAAGACAATGACCTTTTTTACTGTTTTCAGATTTTTCTTTAGAGACTAAAAGATTCACACAGAAATTGAGAAAATAATCAGCAGATTAAGTAATGATCAGAGATTAGTTGTTTTCATTCCTTCTTTATGATATCTAGTACAGACACCCAGGATGTTGAGTTTGTTGACATTCTATACATACAATCTTTCTCAAAACTTTAAACGATTCACTAAACAGCAAAGTAGCCTTAAATAAACCAGTGTGTGAAGTCACTGGAAAGTCATCCAGCGGACTGTTATGTGGCCTACAGAACAAAGTCAGCTGAAATCGGTCGCCAACTAATATGAAAGTTCGCCCACTTGTGGCGGACTGCTGACATGTGGTGGCGGACTGCTGACATGTGCTGAAGGATGTCCTGATGCCAAACTTTATCTCCGTGACTCTTGATTTGTGGGAATATCAGCAGAATCACAGAAGACTGGACATGTTTGATTTTCTCTATGTTTAGGAACAACATGTTCTATCTTGAAGGAACAAGCTTCTATTGTCCAATTGACCTTCATGTGTGTCAGTGAAAGCCTCTATTTATTTATACAATGCTTCCTGGTTCATTGAGTGGAGGCACACACTGTGTTCTCCCTCTGTTATTGGTATCTGTGTGTCCCTATCTAATCCAAGCAGTGCGTGCTGTATGTGAAGTATGCAGCTGTTTTTTAATTGCTTTTGTCTTGGCATTTGACACAGATGGAGGCCCAAAGCTCCAGCGAAATGCTGCTGTCCAGAAAAAGGAGAAGAGAGAGCTCCAACTGGGAGACCGAGGAGGGAGAGAGGCTTGGGAAAATCCCCAGATGTACTGTGGTGAGTCAACTGTGTTCTTTGGCCGTCATTGAGCGGCGTGTTTGTCCAGCTGTTCCTAAAGGCTCCGTGCATGCGCTGTTTTCTACATGAATGCATGGTTTTGATTTATCGACAGAAGGATGAAAAGTAAAGTTTTCTCTGCAGAACTTTTATCTGCTTTGTGTGTCAGACCTTATGTTGGCTGATGTGTAGTTTGCAACACAATTCTATTTGGTCCAACCAGGAAAAACTATGCTGTACGTCTAAACCTTTTTGTATGAATAGATGAGAACGCTTTCTTGATCTCTAAAATCTTGGGTCCTCTAGGGATTGAAGCACCCTGCACCTTTTGCAGATGAGCTGGTGCGTGACGGTAAACCCTACGAGAGAGTCAGCATGGAGGAGGCTAAGAGGGGAACACAGCGTGAGTCCCATTCTTCCAGTCTGCCCGTTGCTGTCTTTCTTTCTTTCCTGTCATAATTCTTACACATTCTGCTTTTCTATTTCTTTATCAGTAAGCTTCTTCTCAGTCACAGAGTAGATCTGAACAAACAAGAGTTTTCGGCTCGCTCTGTCCAGAATCAATATGTCTTTCCTCTCTGCATGTCTCGTCTCTCTCTGTGCAGCTAACAGACCTGTGCGAGTGTATGCAGATGGCATCTTTGATGTTTTCCACTCTGGTCACGCCAGAGCGCTCATGCAGGCTAAATGCCTCTTCCCAAATACACACCTCATTGTAGGAGGTAAGTCTGCGAATGTCTGTGTCACAACAGCAGACCTCTTATCAGCTGCTTCTTTCACAAGTGTGAAGCTTTAAACAATTTCAAACAATAATTCCTTTATTTTCTTTTCGACTATTCAAAGTGTGCAGCGATGACCTGACCCACAAATACAAGGGCTTCACGGTGATGAATGAGGACGAGCGATACGACGCCATCAGACATTGCCGCTATGTTGATGAAGTGGTGCGAAACGCTCCCTGGACGCTAACACCCGAGTTCCTCAAAAAACATCGCGTGAGTGGACGAGACTGAGAAACAGCTGGGTTAAAAGACAAAACGACACAGTTAGAGACACGTGGTCCGTTTTATTCATTGAAATATTGAGTTGTGAGACCGAAAACTGTTGAGGAATTAAAAATGAGTTGACGAAGCCACCGGTCACCTTTCGCCTGCTATTTCTTTGTGTATTTTAGTTTTTGCACAATTTGTAGACGTGAATCTGCTGTGTTGATGTGTGTTGTGATCACCTCTCCAGATTGACTTCGTGGCCCATGACGACATCCCATACAGCTCTGCAGGCAGTGATGATGTCTACAAGCACATCAAGGAAGCTGGTGAGTGGCAAAGTAACCAAAGGTGGTGGTGGTGGTAAGCAAGTAATTACAGGATACAGTTCATTATTTACTACTGCTGCCAAAGCACATATGGCACTATATATAGTATAGTGTATAGTACTGCATTTTAAAACATATTTCGATCCTTTTTCTTATTGTTGTGTGACTTTTCATCCCCCTAACCCTCCATAGGTATGTTCGCTCCCACCCAGCGGACAGAGGGCATCTCCACCTCCGACATCATCACACGCATAGTGCGTGACTACGACGTGTACGTCAGACGCAACCTGCAGAGAGGATACACAGCGAAGGAACTCAACGTCAGCTTCATTAATGTACGAAACTGAGCTTTGGTTCAACTGTGTGAGGATCGGTGTGACGGAGCGTCCTCTTTTTTGAAATTTTTGTAACCGTTGCTGTGTCCGCTCTTCATCAGGAGAAGAAGTACCACCTGCAGGAGCGCGTAGACAAGGTGAAGAGGAAGGTACGCGACGTGGAGGAGAAGAGCAAAGAGTTCGTCCAGAAGGTGGAGGAGAAGAGCATCGACCTCATCCAGAAGTGGGAGGAGAAATCCAGGGAGTTCATTGGCAACTTCCTGCAGATGTTTGGCCCCGAGGGAGCTCTGGTGAGGATGTTGGTTTAGTTTGGTCTCTATTAAGCGTTTGATCCGGCAGTGGGACTGACAACACATCTTGCCTTCACACTGTTGATGTGCTGGGAGAAGCAAGACTTCATCAACTCAGTGACACGCATGTAATAACATACTAAGGCACACCTGATCATTTTGCTATTATGTTTCTTTGATGGTAATAAATACACGTTTTGGAAAGCCTTCATTATTTGAGTAAACAACTATACTGCGCTTGAAACATAAAGGACTTGAACTTGACCTCACAGCCACAACTTGAAGTATTCTCTGTACCGGTATGAGCTGAACCACTGACTGCATGAAGTATGAAAAACTTTCATCAACCTTTAGTATGTTTACAGAACACGCCAAGCACTGTGCACGTAACTGTAACTTCTACTAAGATAAGATTTCATGCCAATGACCCAACATTTGTTTGTCTTATTCTATTCATATATTCAAATTCCTTAAAGGAATAGTTTGACATTTTGGGAAATATACTTATTTAGTTTAGGATACTGACGAGAGAACAGCTAGTGTGTCTTATATAATGTTGCTAAATTTAAAAGGACAAAGTAAAAATGAATATAAAATCATCACGAACACAATAGTGTAAAGACACAGAACCTTTGCCTTCTGACGGCAGGTTTTTAGTCCTTCATCCGTCCCGTGTTCCCGCCTCGTGCTCGCATTGAGCCGGTTGTATCCTCGGTTGCTATAACGGACGATCTCTTTGTGTTTCTGTGTCACATCCACAGAAGCACATGCTGAAGGAAGGGAAGGGCCGCATGCTCCAGGCCATCAGCCCGAGGCAGAGCCCCAACAGCAGCCCCACCCGCGAGGAGCGCTCCCCCTCTCCCACCTTCCGTCTCCCCTTCTTCACCAAGACCTCCCCACCTCCCTCGCCTCCCCCCCACCACAGCGGGGCCCGCGGGTACCTCATCAGCGAGGACGACGACGAAGAAGAAGACGAAAACTAGAGCGCGTTCGAATCCTTCACAGTCGCTACTAGATACCTGAGCGGTTTTCATGGAGCTCCTGCTTCCATTTCTTTTTGTTTAAAATTTTACTTTTTGTTTTTAAACACTTCAGTGTCACGTTGACGGACGGTTTTGTGCACGGCATTTGTTTTTAACTGCCAGCTTTGTCCTTTTGTTTTTTTCCTGTTTTTGTGTAATGGTCAGTAAAAGTCACCACTAGTCTCATTTATCGCTTCCGATGTGGAGGTCAGTAGTCACTCACTGTCACTTAGGCCTGTTTGCGAGGGTTACTGCTCCATCTGTGACGGTGTTCTCAAGGTAGTGAGGTAGGGGGTTTGAGTTTGTCACGCTTTAGCGGGAGGGCTCGCAGGTTTAGGGTTCACTGGAACAGCACATCTAGTGACGGAGACACTGTTGAACATCTCCGGAGGACGTTTTTCAGAGCAGGTCTGAAAAACTGGACATTTAAACGGTCTGCTCATGTGGAGCATATTCTGCTTATGCTAACAACAAAACCAACCTAACCTTTTTTTTTTTTTTTTCTTTTTTTTTAATTAACGGGGAAATTCCAGATTATGTCAAATCTGAGCTGAACCTGAGAGTCTAGTGTTATGCGTCTTCTAAACAGCAACTTTTCCCCTCAACTTTGTCTGCCTGCTTTCATGCTGTGTGTGTGTGTGTGTGTGTGTGTGTGTGTGTTTGTGCATGTGATGTTTTTGCTTGCCAGCTCTTACGTCAGCATGCTCACACGTCTTCTGTCAACCACCTGTTGACAGATTCAGCTTTGACTTTACTGCATTTAATCATAAATTTCATTTTTAAAGTTTTTTGTCTGCTGACAAGAATCGGTTTTTAGAAGACAAGTTATAACTGGACGCCTTTCTCGTGGCGTAAAAAGAAGGTTCTGCAACGACGACCCATTTAAATGTTGTTTGTAGATTTCATCTTTCCTTTCATCCTCTGTACAGATAATATGAATCTACTTTGTTTAGAGATGCGTTTACCCCTCGAGCAATGAATCAAGATAAGCAAGTTATATATAAGTATATACATAGATATGATTCTTTTTCTAATGCAGATCACCTGGGCCTGGAGGGAAGTAATAACTTCCATCTGATATGTGTGAAAACTTTAGAAAGTAAGAAGTTTTCATACATCAAAGCAGACCTGAGAACTGTACCAATGCCCCAATCCTCATAATAAAGGACATCTTTTGTTTAGTTGAAGTCATAAGCACACTTTTCTGATCATTGCCTCGTCATTAGTAGCGCACACACATACGTGGGATACACAAGGCCGTCCAAAACATTCGTGGCTTTTTTCCAACAGTTTAAAGATGCCTTTTGTCAGACTGCAGTGTGTCACATGGTGGTGTGAGGGGCTTAGGTTTCTGTATCAGATCAACGTTCATGTAGCTACCTCTTTCCCCGAACTGATTCCTGAGATGAGCACAAAGTTCGAGCATTCATTTTTCCTTTCTGAACCGTTGTTGCAGCACTGAAGCAATGCGACTGGGTCGATGAGATTTTCCAGCCTTCAGTGTGTGTGTGTGTGTGTGCGCCTGTGTCCTGCATCTCCAGTGATTAATGCATGTGTTGTGTCTATGTTACCAGAAAATGTCAACATCACAGGTGCTCTGAAGATGTAATGCAATACTGTCGTGATGACTCTAATATAGATGTTGGATTGATCTGTTTTAGGCTTGGTTTCCCAAAAACAACTTAAATCAATTTCTGCTGCGGTCACACAGACCGCCTCCGTTCTTGTGGGTGTAAATCTGATTTCTAAGATTGGGGGAAAATAACTCAAAAGGTTTCCACACGGCCATCAATTCCTACTTCTACTAAAAGTTCACAACTCCAGCCGTGATTTTGGCGCTAAGCTACTTTTGGGAACCCTCGTCTCGATTCTTGTGGAATCAGTGCGTGCGTCTCGGTCAGAGCATGCCCACGAGTTGAGTGGCGAGGCCACTAACAGCAACTACTGCTAGATGTAACTGTTTTAATCATGTTATTTTACTCTTTGGGGTTATTGTGTTTAATGTCCTGGATGTAGAGGAAGGGCAAGACAGAAAAAATGTATTAAAACATGTTGGCCAAAGCATTTGACCAATTATTTTGTCTCCTGTGGTTTTATGGAACCGTTTTCCTGGATTATGTATTCTGAGTTTATTCAAACCAGTTTTGTTTCCCTTCAAAATGTGAAAAAAAAAAAAAAAAAAAGTGTTGCGCCAATATGTTTCTCAAATGAGTAGACAGGATGAAAACTGGACTAACCAGAGCCATGCTGTAACCAATATCGCCCCAAATCTGCTGTTCCTACACCAGCCCCGCCCTCATTTCAGACATCAGGAAAGAGAACACACACTGAGGGGAGGCGTGCTCAGTTACATAGTCAGATTTTATTGGACAGAACGGTCAACAGGGCTACAAACATGACGAAGCAGACAGTGACGAGGCAAACACCAGGGGGAGACTTCACCTCACTGCAAACACACTCCCACTGTCACCCCCCCCCCCCCAACAGCATCTTTGAACCAAAACAGTGACAGAGTTGATCTCGGTGCTTAAGAAACAGGAAGATTGGGTCACAAACTAGCTTATAGGGATGATGGTCAGACTTCTAAACTGTAACGTCCCCCTATGCTTTAACTGTACTCGCCGGATGCTGGTAAAACTAGTGGGAAAAAAACAAGGGAAAGAACCAATACAGTCTCCAGAAAATACAAAAAACAGCTTCGGTCACCATCGACTCCTTCTGCTTTCCAACTACCCAGAAGAGACTTTAAGTCGGGCCGTTTGAGTCCACAACACAGAATCAGACATCTCAATTTGAAAGGGGTAGACTCTACCGAGACAAGTTCAGTCACAAGAACAATATCGGGATTCAGTTAAACCACAACAGCTACAAATCATCTTACAAGGGTTACCTCTAGGACTTGTGGGACTTCTAAAGTAACTGGAGAGTAGATAGTGGAATAATAACACTTAAACACGAGAGAGCGTCTCCAGTCCTCTCCCCCTGGTCCCCATCTGCCTCACTCGTCTCTTTTCTTTCAGACACCAGTTGGTTTTACAGGTTTACTCATCACTACGAGATATATACGATACAATGTTTCACATTTTGCATATATCTGTGCATCATATCATATTTACTTATTTTTTTAAATTTATTTTTAAACGATGTAATTCAATCTCCAACACTTAGTTAGGGAGGGGTGGAGATGGTTGGAGGGGGGTATGAGATAAGCTATAAGGATTGAGGGGGACAAGAGAGACAAAGTAGGGGGCGGGGCAGGAGAAGAAAAAAACAAATGTTAACAGGATCGACGGGAGGAAAAGTGGTCACTGCGCTGCCTGGAGCGGGCGGAACTTTAGCAGCGCGTTTCGTAGATGCCGGAGCGGCCGATGTACCGCACCCATTTGATGACGTCATGGTCACTGTAGTTGAGCTTGGACTCAAACACCTTCAAGTAGCGCACCTTCAGACCAGAGGGAGCAAAGGGAACCTGCAGAGACGAGAAGAGAGAGGCAAAGACGTGTCTGGGCATGCTGGGAGCTGTAGGCCACACAGGTCGCTGGTTCTTACTCTGGGCGTGATCATCAAGTGAGCTCTGAGCAGGAAGTGTGTGTGTGTGATTTGCATGAATGTTACTGGGATTACATTTATTGCATAGTCCATCCGTTTGGTTGCCAACTCCAATCTCATATTTAAAATCATGCAGTAAAGCCTATTTATAAAACTGTTCACCAACTGCAGTTTCAAATTCGACACATTATGTGTTCTGACCTCAAAGTTCATAGAGATGGGAGGCCTCGCCCATTTCTTCTTATCGTTGGTCGGCAGCAGCTCGATCTCAGCGCTGATCTGAGACTCCTTCATCCCAGCCATGCGTTTGATCCTATCAACACACACACCGCATGTTTTGTAAGTGTTGTACAGGTTTCAGCAACAACAAATCCAAATTTAAAAACTCTCACGAGAAGTACAAAAAGGGTAAACAGACTGTTAATCATTAACCTGACACGGAGAGTTTGGTTGTATCTTCACTACTCACTTCCATACGATGGCGTTCTCGCTGGCCTTGTACTTGGCTTTTCCCTTCATACAAATCACCTGCACGCCGCTAGTGTTGAGGGGTGTCGGGATACGCACCTGAGGATTTGATAATGAAGAGGAGTAAAACTTTTAACACATTACAGCAATCAAACGTCACGCATCAATCTCCGATCACATTTGGTCATGTTCGCGCTGCGAGTAGAAATGTACCTCAGTGTGCAGCTAAGGGTTGTTAGCATTCATTAGCATCTGGACTTTGATAAGAGCTCACCTCGATCTTTTGGGCCAGCAGCGAGGGTTTGAAGTTGGACTTGATGACCACCTTAACCTCCAGTTTGGTGCGCCCAACCTCCCGGACGAGAGGAATTACTCGAAACGGCAGGATGATGTCTTTAGTGGTGCGATACCTGTAAAGAGGGGAGAGGAGAAAAGTGCTTCATGCTCCAAAATTATTTGAGTTTTACAAAAGCAGAAAAAAGGATTTCCTTCGGTTGTTTCGGTGCCGTTCTCAAAATACCACGAGGACACAAACTAGCATACGTTACTTTAAATACGAGTGTCAATCATGGCCTGTGACCACCCCCTCTTATCTGGACAATTTAATAACAATAAAAATAAACAAAAGCTTTGAAAATATTTGTATCCACTGACCTCATGAGCTCATACTCTCCATCGGGGGGGATGAAGCTGATGCTGCGCTCCGAGTCAAACTTACTGAGACGCACACACTGGTGGAAAGTGCAGTCGTCGATGGCTATGGACTGCTTCCCACTGTCGGGAGAAAAATACATCAGACACACACACACACACACACACACACACACACACGAGACGATGCAACATTAGTTCACTTGTTTATCACTATTAAACTATATCTAATGATTATGATAAAACCATTACTCTCCCTCAATTAAAGACCATCATTTAAAACAAAGAAGGACACATGGGAACACAACTGCTAGTCTCGAGACATTAAACCTGGTGGAAGTTGCAGTAACACAAAACACAGTCCCTGTTAGATGTTAGATGGGTAATCAAACAAAACTAACCATTCCATAAAATAGGGACACAACACTGAAGAGTTATTAACAAGGTATTGTTTGATTTGTGCATGAGATGATTCTTAATGTGCTGAAGGGCTTAGACAAGACCGGTGTGTATGTGTGTGTGTGTGTGTGTGTGGAGGTGGCAGAAGGTGAGGACACTTGTCAGTACAGTACCTTCCTCCCCCTAAATCACTGAGGTACAGCACATAGAAAAGAAAGAGAGGGAAAGAAAGGAGAGATGCATCCAAAGGAAAGAAAAATCAAAAAATAAATTGCACAGCCCATCTTTGTTGTAAAACAGCAAGACAACGCTCATAACAAAGACAACGCTCATAACAAAGACAAGGGGCTAACAGACAAGGTGGTCTCTTAAAGTTTCACTCAACAACGAATTTTCATTGTCAGGGTTTCCAAGATGGAAAGAATATAGAAAAGCACCATACTCAAAGAATCAGAGTTGACTTACAGCCTCGCTTATCAAAATATGGTTTCAGATATTCAACGTGCCGTCTGCTTGTTGGCTCACTCACCTCTTCCCTGCGTCGTCAGATGTGGCGGCTCCCTTGCCCTGCTTGTCGATGACAATCTTGTCGTTCATGCCGAATTTGCACTCCGGCATTCCGCTCAGGTAGCTCTTCATCACCACTCGGCCCGACACGTGGGCACTGAGGACCTGGCCTGGACAGGACGGGAAATACAAATCATATTTATCTCCACTTTGTTGTTTCGGGGACTTAAAAACAAGACCAAAAAAGGGGTCTGGACTTCTAAATATTCTTAGCTGAGAAAAACTATTTTCTCCATCTGAAGCTCCCTCCAAACCCATATGCTGAGGAAGATGTGCGACATGTGACCGAAAGCGCATCACAACAGCTACCAAACATTTGTTTTTGTATATTCACAAACATGCATGTACATATTAACTAGGAGAGACGAGGCCTTATAGAGGGACCTTGTGGGGACATGAGCAGGTTGACGCTCTCCAGTACGTCCAGGAACAGCTCATTGCGGCGATACTTGATGCCTTCGCGACGCCAGCCGATCTGCCCCGTCACCTGGCTGGTGATCTGAGACTGCTCCTCTTTTGTCTGGGAGGCAGGGAGAGAAACTGTATCACTACCAACAGAGAGGAGACGGCTGACAAATGAACGAGGACAATGAGAAGGGATCGTTAGCGCTACAGGGTTCCATACGTGGGATCAAATGGATTGTTGGTTATTACCTGGTGCTGAATCAGGAAATGTCCAAGATCAGAGTTCAGGGCAAAGAAGGAGAGAAAAACAGAAACGTATTGACCAGTTAAATTTAGATAATGATGCCAAAATGCCAGCATTACAGATTTCCTTTATGTTTTGTACAATTTGCATGAACTGAACATTACAACCTTCATGGCGGTACTAGTACGAGACTCACTGACCTGTCCCTTAATGCCCTGCTGGGTGATGAAGGTCTTCAGAGCTCCAGTCTCTGAGTTCTGGGGGTATCCAAAGTCCAAGATCTCTGTGTGAACACAAACAGATAACCGCCGGTGAGAGATAAGACGGGCAGGAGAAAAAAAAACTAGGACATGGAGTGACAGAAAGAACCCGAGTCCACTCAGTGAGATATTATATTTCACTGGGAGAACACACACAAAAAAACATCACTATTAATATCCCATATACATACATATACATACACATAAACATACACACATATATATACACACACACACACACATAATGTAAATTCTCGTCTTTTTTACCATCCAGCAGCTCGTAGATGAGTACAAAGTTGTTCTTGATGTTCTCCTCGCTGATCTTGCCGAAGTAGGCCGTCATGACGTCGCACATCTTATAAAGGAACTCGAACACCATGGCGGCGTTGACATTTTGCTTGGTGACCGCCGCCAACCAGATGTTGGAGCGCTTGACGTGGAAGAAGCTGGTTCGGGCGATGTTGGTCACCGGGGATCGAACCTGCTGCCGGGCGTGAATCACATTCACGCGGAACGCGTCCACCGCGTTACGCCTGAGAGGGGGAGGGGGGGGGACGAGAGACACAGAGAGGCGGACCTTTGAGTCGAGAATCGTTTCAGGATTTTATAGACCAGTGAGACTCAACACTCTCCCACCCTG